ATAGACCACGTCACCTGTATTTTAATGTCGCCTCAAACGGTTAAATATATAAATACGTGTTCGCAATAGACCACGTCAACTGTATTTTAATGTCGCTTCAAACGGTTTATATATATAAATGTGTTTGCAATAGGCCACGTCAACTGTATTTTAATGTCGCTTCAAACGGTTTATATATATAAATACGTGTTCGCAATAGACCACGTCACCTGTATTTTAATGTCGCTTCAAACGGTTTATATATATAAATACGTGTTCGCAATAGACCACGTCACCTGTATTTTAATGTCGCTTCAAACGGTTTATATATATAAATACGTGTTCGCAATAGACCACGTCACCTGTATTTTAATGTCGCTTCAAACGATTTATATATATATATATATAAAACACGGACAAAGGAGATCAAGATTGTTCAGTGATGAGCTCATTCAAGTGGAAACAACACAAGCTACCAAGCATTATCTCCCCTGAAATGTTCCCTTTATTTTATACTTCAGAGTGAAAGACTGGGTTTTCCGAAGTTGAGAAAAGTGATATTTTCATTGCAGTGAACATGACAATTGATATTTCATTGCAGTGAACATAACACTTGATATTTCACTGCTGTGAACACAACAGTTTGACGGAATTATTGCCATACAAGTGTGACCTCCCCCCAAATTGTCTCCCTTTGTCCAAAGTGTCTCACCCGTTCACAGACTGTTTACTTCCTTTTTATGTTAATTCCACATTGACAACGCAAAATAATCACAGATGGTCATTTATGGAGTTAATATCGCTTCACGGCGTGTTATTCTCTTGAAAATGTTCCATTATATAAAAGTGTAAATTTCTCTCAACTCGTCAATCGAGACTGTTCTTTTCGCAAAGCACCATTTTTGTTACTTGGCCAGCATGTATTCTTTTGCTGCCAACACTTGTCTCGAAATTTTCAAGAATATTTTTTTTCTTAAAGTTGATTTTGTATACACCGACTCTCTCAACAACGTTCACTTCTAATCCAACTTCTATCTCAACCGCACCGCTCGCTTCTAATCAAACTTCTATCTCAACTGCACCGCTCACTTCTAATTCAACTTCTACAACTGCACCAACTATTACCTCCGACACCATAGTAACCATATCAAGCAGCGTTATTGCAGGTATAGTTATTATTCCTATTGGTTTTTGTGTTTTATTAATGGGTTGTTTTATATATCAAATAAGAAAGAATAAAAACGTTTCACCTCTCAATAATACCTATGAAATGCAACAGATGATCACATAAATGTAGATCATCTTAGTTAAAATCATTTAATATAAATTTAATGTAGATAGATGTTAGTATCATTTATACATATAATGTAAATTTAATGTAGATAGATGTTAGAATCATTTATAAGTAACACCTCTCTTCGCACAACATCCAACCTCTTTCCAACACCTTTTTAGCACGTCTCCCTAATGACTACGACCGCAACAGCAACAACGTCCATGATGATGACGATGACGATGACGATGACGATGATGATGATGATGAAGATGATGATCTTGATGGTGAGCTTATTTTTAATCAATGATGATGTTGAGTGATATATTCACAATATCATGTAACTAATTTATGAACTAAATAATTTGTTTGTATTTATTCAGGAAAAGTAACTAATTATATGATGTTGAGTGACATATACAAAATATGCTCTTATGAATTAAATTTAAAATGTTTTGCATTTATGCAACAAAAGTAACTTATGAACTATTTTATCTTTAAAAAAATTGCATTTCAGGAAAAGTAACTACAATGCTGGTTTTGATGCTAATCATGATGTTGGGCTTCCCCATCGGTTTGATGGTGCGTATTTTATATCGTAGAAGACACACAGCTACCAGTATGTCCGCTCCATCCGATGCACCACCACCATCTGCACCATCCACACCATCCGTCGAGCCACAATCTGCACCATCCGACGAGCCACCATTCACACCGCCATCCAATGTAACACCCAGACGATCGCTGCCATGCACACCAAAATGTTCACATCTTCGAAGTGAAAGACGCATGATGAGGCTGGGACATCCTCCGGTATTGGATATGATTGGTGAGAGTGCTCTTTAGATCACGGTTGCATGGGCACTATGTGTACATTGATACAAAGTACATATTCTTGATTTTCTAACGTGAAATAACATATAACACACTGTTCAAGGGAGGTTACTCGTGTCGGCTTACATGACTTTATTACACATGAGTGTCCTCTCAGACCGTTCATTTCACAACACAACACATAACAATTTTATTTATAACAATTTTATTCATGGAACATTTGGGCGGGTATACACAGTGAATGGATACATCATCCAATCGGCTGCTGGTACCATCGAATTACTGTTTGCGTGGTGTATCTGAAAGAAAAATACAGATTTGATATAAATAACATCAAAAGCTAATGTAAACACATACTCACTTATATTTGGTACAAAGATAATTGTGGTAAATTTTTTCACAAAATTATTTCCTAAATATTTCAAACAATTTTATAAACTTCAAAAACTATTTCTTAAATAACTTAATTATTATAACAACAATCATGATAGAATAATATTTCTACAGTAATATGTATTACTTTCAAGTTTTAACCAAATACTATTACAATAATAATTTTTAAAAGTATTTCCTAGAAAAGTTTTAAATGTGGTAAACAATTTTATAAACTTCAAAAATTATTTCTCAAATAACTTTTAGATTTAATTATGATAAAATAATTTACTTTGAAAAATCTGTTTTCTCAAAAATAGATTTAATTATTATAAAAATAAATATGATAGAATAATATTTCTACAGAAATTGTAATAATATTGATTTTAAGTTTTAACCAAATACTATTACAATAATAACTTTTAAAACTATTTCCTACTAAAAGGTTTTAGATTTGATAAACAATTTTATAAACATCCAAACTATTTCTTTAATAACTTTAAGATTTAATTATTTTAAAATAATTTACTTTGAAAAATCTTTTTCCTCAAAGAAAGATTTTAGTTTAAATATAATAACTTCATAACAGTGTTCTTCATAAACCTCACACAAAAGAATTATGTCCTAAATAAGTTTTAGATGTAATTGTGATAAAAGTAATACTTCTACAATTGTAGTTTATGATAATAGCATACTTACCAACACGTGCATAGGGTGTGGATCGGTTGACTCTACCACCAGCAGTGCTCCCCGCTGCTCCACTCACACCTACTCTCATCATTGTAGGTGTTGTTACCAGAGGGTATGGGACGGTGGCGGGGGGAAGCATCCCTCCAACATTTCCAACACCTGCATTGTAGTTGTGATCAGTCACCTCTGGAACAGGTGGGGTGTCAGATAGTTCCATCTCAAGTTCCATATCTTCCATTTGCTGAATGTATAAGTCTCTCTCATCCAGCAGCTTCCGAAAGACCTCCGCCTTCAAGGAGACAGACTTTTTCTCCCCTCCGGCATTCCAGTTCATGAGATGAGCATAGACTTGACCATTGAAAACGTTGATAGTCAAGTAGTTCTTATCAGCAAATTGGGTAGTGTACACTGGTGAAGACATGATGTCACAGAGTTGTTCTGTTCGCCAGAAAGTTTCAGATCGGACAGATCATAGAACATACCAAGTATCTCTTATATAGTTTGTGAACAGTCGGTCAAATACATCAGCAAGTTTGGTTTCCACAGCTGTAACATCACGTGCTCCCACCATATTCGGTTCTTAAGTTTCTTTAAAGATCCGTCATAAAGAAACATATGTCAATTGACATTGTAGCTGGAAATGTACCAACATCACGATGACAAGCCATTTTCTTTAAAATAAATTTTTCAATACGTATCACCTGTTTATCAACACCCACTTTAACTCTCACAAAATGAAGTCTTTTATGTTCCTTCAAGATGATTTGACAGTTCTCACACCCTGTTACGATGAAATATTGCCAACACCTGTATGTACCTAAGGTTGAACTTCAGTTCTTTACCTATTACGCATGGTTCTTTTATTTTGAAAATGAAATATATCATTTGAGAGAGCATAAAACATTTTCTATTGCTTCTTTTGTTATATACCTGACACCACCCTTTTCAACAGTGCTTATTCATGTCACATTTTCAGAAGCAGACAGCTAACTCCATCTAGTGTTTACATCAAAAGGTGCAGCCAACTCTTTGAAAAGTTTCTTTTCAAAATAAATTCAAAAGGAACTTAAAAGAATCAATACAAGGTTGTTTCTGTGAGAACTGTATGGGGTATACATTATACATCCTCAAATAGCACACGGTATCACACCTAGCCAACAGCCTCTGTGTAATCCACATTATCCTTGTAGCACTTACTCAAACTTCAACTCCCTTATCTGAACCTGGAACAGTGTATTACAATTTTTGGATTTTTCAGCAGGGTAAACTCATCAGACAGGTAAGCACCTCTCGTCTCTGATTTGATATATTGTTATCACTCCATCATCAAAGTTAGAATATTTTCTCAATTTATTTTTGTATATTTTTGCAGAACTTGCTCAAGATCCACTGATTTATTTTTAGTTTGTGAATGTTCATATAAGGTGGGCTAAGAAATATGTCTGAACATGACACATGTCGCATTTTCAGATGTGAAACTTGTGATGGTTGTTTTGAACATAAACATAATCTGTTAAGACATCAGTGGAATTGCAAGAAAATAGGGACATTATTTGTCTGTCATTTGTGTCAGAAAATTTTGTTCGACGTGATAATTGGTTAAGACACATCAGAACATTTCCAAACATGTAGTTTGCTTTCATCAACAATGTGCTCTTTGCTTGAAACATTTTGACAATGAACCTAATTTTCAATCCCACATTTTACACTGTAGAAACTTGAGAAATGATGTTTCTTGTCAGATCTGCCACAGAACATTTCCAAATTCAAAAGCATTGCGAGTTCATATCAATAGAACTAAACATGATATGGTGGGGGTCCGGCATAAGGGTAAATTGGCACAGAGAACAACTCATACCTCTTTTCCGGCTGCTGCTTCTGACCCACCCTCTCCACCCATACCTTCACCTGATCCACCCTCCCCACCCATCCCTTCACCTGACCCACCAATACCCTTTATCCCTTCACCCTCCCCACCCATCCCTTCACCTGACCCACCAATACCCTTTATCCCTTCACCCTCCCCACCCTCCCCACCTTCCCCACCCATCCCTTCACCTGACCCACCAATACCCTTTATCCCTTCACCTGATCCACCCTCCCCACCCATCCCTTCACCTGACCCACCAATACCCTTTATCCCTTCACCCTCCCCACCCATCCCTTCACCTGACCCACCAATACCCTTTATCCCTTCACCCTCCCCACCCTCCCCACCTTCCCCACCCATCCCTTCACCTGACCCACCAATACCCTTTATCCCTTCACCTGATCCACCCTCCCCACCCATCCCTTCACCTGACCCACCAATACCCTTTATCCCTTCACCTGATCCACCCTCCCAACCCATCCCTTCACCTGACCCACCAATACCCTTTATCCCTTCACCTGATCCACCCTCCCCACCTATTCCTTCACCTGACCCACCAATACCCTTTATCCCTTCACCTGATCCACCCTCCCCACCCATCCCTTCACCTGACCCACCAATACCCTTTATCTCCTCCTCACCTGATCCACCGACACCTCCTACAGCATCTCCTTCACCATCTCCCATCCATTCAGAACCTAATCATTCTCATCCTTGCTCACGTGAAGCGATGGGTGGAGATGTGAGAGATTATGATTTTGAAGGTGGTAATGGTACAGATCCATTGAGTTTTTTAGTGAATCAACAATCTGGTGTCATTGAGGTGATTGACTCAGAATTAAGACAGAAACGTGCTCTTAAGTGGGGGTTGTGTCTTCATATCAGAATGTCTGAAACATCGGAATATGAAGACATTCTTAGACACAATGCCTACTTTCGCAGCACCTTGCAGATTGCAACAGTAGGAAGTGATTTGATTGAGCAGTACTTGAAAGCTATGCATCAAATACTTACCACAATAGACGAGTATGAAGGAGAACATTCCAATTTGAATATAGCCAAAATCGTGTTGATGAAACTGACCCTTGCAAAATTCAAACCTTTCAAAGGTGGGAGTTACATTCCACTACCAAAAGGTCTTGCATATAAAACCAGAAGTATCATCAACATCAAAAATGAAGATGAATTGTGTTTCCTGTACTCTGTGTTAGCCAAACTCTATCCAGCAATCCGCAATAAAGAGAGGGTCACCCATTATGAACCTTATGTCAATCGGCTTCAATTAGAAGGCTTTACTTTTCCTATGACTTTGAAACAAATCTCACGCTTTGAAGAAGTGAACCGATTGTCTATTAACGTGTATGGATACGAAGATAACACTTTGTATCCACTCCTCATCAGCAATGTTCATGATATAGACGAAAGTAGACAGATAGATTATTTGTTACTTTCACAAGAAAGTGAACCTGAAGATTTTGAAGGTATCTTAGGTATGGAAGGTGATGAAGCTATGGAACTTGATAAGACACCAGACACTCATTATTGTTTAATCACAAATTTGAACCGCCTGGTCAGATCCAAAACTCATGATTATCCTGTGTATATTTGCAAAAAGTGTCTTCACAACTTTTCTAGTATAACAAGTTTGCAAGCGCACAAGACTTACTGCTTTGAAAAATGTCAAACAGCCATCTTACCCAAACCTGAGGAAGCCCTGTATCAGTTTGGTTTGCGCTCACAATAAAAAAACAGAAAGAGCAAAATTCCTCATTGTAGCTGATTTTGAAAGTTTATTTATACCAGAGGACAATCATGCTATGCGTATGAATAAACATGTACCTTCTGCTTATGCTTACAAAGTGGTGTGCTCAGATGAACAATATTCCAAACCCATACAATCTTATGTAGGTAAAGAAGCAGCTGAACACTTTATAGAACACATTCTGAAAGAGTATCATGAGATTATGACTTTATTTGACTCTGTTAAACCTATGCAATTAACACAACAGGACAGACTACAGATAGCAAACACTACTCATTGTGGGTTATGTAGAGGTGTTTTAGGGAAAGACAGGGTGTTAGATCATGATCACTTGAGTGGGGCATTTAGACAAGTCTTGCACAACAAGTGCAATTTAAATTTCCAATTGAGAAAAAAGGATGTAGTCATGTCACACAATAGTGAACGGTATGATACACATTTGATTCTGGAAGCTGCCCAAAATTTTGGGGAGAGAGACATTCAAGTCATTCCTCATAATTCTGAACAATTTCTATCCTTCACTGTAGATAAACATTTAGTGTTTTTGGATTCTTTCAAATTTTTGCAAGGTTCACTAGATACATTGACCCAAAACCAACTGAAAAGAGGCATTCATTCCTTTGTCTATTTGAAAGAAGAGTTTCCTCACCATGTAGGTATGTTGACTCGAAAGCTTCCCTATCCTTATGAACACATGACTTCATGGAACATCTTACTCCCTCACTCCCTTCAAAAGAAGCTTTCTACAGCACACTCTCTGATGAAGGCATTAATGATGAAGATTATGCTTTTGCTCAAGAGCTGTGGCATACATTTCATTGTCAAACCATGGGTGATTTTACACGATTGTATGTATGTGTTGATGTCTTGTTGTTGACTGATATTGTTGAGGCTTTCCGAACAGGCTGTTTGACAGATTATGGCCTCGACATCTGTCACTATTATAGCTTGCCTGGGTTTTGTCTCGATGCTGCTATGAAAGTCACAGGTGTCAACCTGGATTTGTTCACTGATGTAGATTCCTACAATTTCATAGAAAATTCTATTCGAGGAGGGTTGAGTAACATAGGAACAAAATATGCCCATAGCAACAATGAATTCATGTCTGATTTTGATCCATGCAAAGAGACTTCTTATCTCATGTATTATGATGTGAATTCTTTCTATGCAACAGTCATGCTAGAACCCCTTCCTCTTGGTCAGTATCAGTTCATGAAGCCTAGTGAATATGCTACCACTGACTGGACAAGCATGGACGTACAAGGGGATACAGGCTATATTTTAGAAGTGGATCTGCTTTACCCAACCTATTTGCATGAAAACCACGCTGCCTTACCTATGGCACCCACTCATGACAATATTCCTTTTGAAGACTTTTCTCCCTATCACAAAGAGTTACTCAGCCAGTTTCAAACACCTACCAAAACAGGTCAAGAAAGAAAACCAAAAGCTTCAGGGAAAAAATTGTTTGCCACTTTGAAAGATCGTTTCAACTATGTGGTGCATGTCAAAACCCTACAGTTGTATTTGAGGTATGGCTTAGTTCTTCAACACATACATAGAGTGCTCAAGTTTGCTCAAGCCCCATGGTTGAAACCTTACATTGAACTCAATTTGAACAAACGTAAACAGGCTACTGATGTCTGTGATAAAGACCGTTATAAACTTATGAACAATTTTGTCTTTGGACGGTTTTGCATGAACAAAAGAAAACACAAAACAGTGCATTTAGTCACTAAAAAAACTCAATTGCTCAAATATGCAGCAAAAAACAATTTCAAACAGGTGAACATATTTTCTAAGGACGTGGTGGCAGTAGAAATGAACAAAGTGAGTGTTCATTTAGATCAACCCATTGCAGTTGGTTTCACCATTTTAGACCCAGCCAAATATGAAATCCTCTCTTTCTATTATGATGACATGCAACAACAATATGGACCTGAATGGTTGACTTGCTCATGACTGACACAGACAGTCTGTTTCTACACATCCATGCCCCTCCTCATGAACCTTTGCTTGATCCCTACACATTCATGAAACACAATTTACATTTATTTGATACCAGCAATTATCCTCTCAAGGATCCATTGTATTCAGAACACAACAAAAAAAGTGACTGGTAAAATGAAAGATGAGGCTGCTGGAGAAATCATATTAGAGTTTGTGGGGTTGAAAAGTAAAATGTATTCATTTCTAACACAAAAAGACACAAAGAGCATTGTTGAAAAAAAGACTGCCAAAGGTATCAAGAAATCAGTCATCAAAAAGAAGCTGACACATAACATGTACAAAGAATGTCTCTTCACATGCAAAGCTTTTGCTTGTTCTTTTCATCTCATTCAATCATATAATAATACATTATACACTGCAAAACAGTGTAAAGTAGCTCTCACTCCTTTAGATGATAAGCGATATGTGTTAGAGGATGGTATTCACAGTGTACCTTATGGATATTCACCAAACAAAAAGCAACCTTGGCCGACACATTGGAAGGCTTGGAAGGCATTGTATACCTCAGGTACCTGATTTGCATTTCATTCAAAATCAACACACAGTTTAGTTTTTTAACTTGTTCATTCTTGAATTATTCACTTACTTTCTATTTTTATGTTTTCGGAATGGATAACAATATGACAAGACAATATCACTACCATAGCTTTAAGTAAATGTTTGCAAGTTATTCTCTTACTCTTTTTTTTCTTCTTCTTTTTTTTTGTTTTCAGAATGAGCACAACTATAGCACGTCAATATGTCTATCAGGTCATAGGTTCCAACAAGTGGCATATGAAAGCTTGAACATATTCAAGAGGCGTGAAGATGCACAAAAGGCTGGTCTAGGATGGATAGGGAGAGTTGGCAGACAATTGGACAATAGAGTATCCACAATGCAGGACCTGAGACCTTATAATGTGACAGTACACAGAGTCTATATCAGTAGACAATGGCTTTCATCTCATAATGATAAGCCCCTGTTTGAAGGTGTTCTAGAGAAGATGAACTTCAGAGAATGGTACGGAAGCTATGTAATGACAACTGTTATGGATGTCAAGTTGACCACTCCTCACAAGTGCATCAGCAATGCATCATGTGGTTAAGCAATGAGGTTGTGGATGTATATTTTGATGATGCATTACATGTTCTAGCACATGCTTAGGTTTTAGAGAAAGCCAGGCATGAGATCAGAGGTTTTCCCCTAGAACTTTGTGATACCTTGCTATGAGAGTATAGACTTTATGCATGACATTTTCTTTTCTGATGATAGAAAAGAGAAGCTTAAATATCAGCTTCGCATAAAAATGAACATTGAATAGATGATTGTGAATAAAAGGCTGTAAAATACCTGTACAAACTATATGTTCCTTTCTTTGATGATATTGATGTTGAATAAAAGATAAATAACAAAGAAGTTGGTGTTTTCACCCACAGCATACGAGTTTATTAAATAGTATTAGAAGTTCTTACACATATATATTATATCTTGCAAGAAACATTTACAAAGATTCAAGTTCTTTAAAGTGTTTTCTTCCTGGTACACCTTTGATGACTCGTTGTTTAACATAAAGAGTTTTATCTTTTGAGGTTTTCTTCCTTGGTTTGAACAATAGATGATTGGGAACATTAAACTGTTTAAGAAGTTGTTGAAACATTGTGTATCCAGTAGGTGCAGAACCCTGATGCAAAATAGCAAAACGAGTGAGTTCTATAACATTAGTCTCTGGTACTACAATTTCCTTGTTCAGTCAAAAGTTCAAATTGTGTATTGAAGTTCAGTTTCTCCTTGACACGCCTCCATAATTTCATCAGCTTACCAATCCTTTTACTAGATTTAACACCATACAAGAGTTGATTTAAAAGATGCTCTGTGGTGTTCTCTTCCACAACATCCTCCTTGGGTTTAACCTCTGCATTTACAGAAGACTGATTA